AAAAAAAATAAACAAAAATGCTTCTTGCAGTTTAAATTGCTTTGACCTGGATTAGGGTTTTAAAGGTTAAAAGTTCTTCTAGCTTCCCTTTCTTTGAAATGTTAGAAGGGGCTGTGAGGGGTCTGAGGTGGCTTGTCCATTGTATGTTAATGAATCTTTTTAGATAAACACAATCCTCATGTTTCAGTCCTATGTCTTTCCATTTGGACAGATCACTGTGAAAGGGCTGAGCAAAACCCAGAATCTGCCATCTTCCCTGATGTAACAAAACATCTAAAAGGTAAGAATTCTTATTTTTTGTTATTTTTCATTATGTTCTGCGAATAGAACACATAACAAACATATAGAGGGGTTCTTTCAAATTTGACTGCAAAAGTGGAAATACACTTTAACAACATTACAGGGACATATACTGTTTAGAAGTAGTGGAACTGGTTAAAAGGAATGCAGCCAAGCCAAGACTGTTATGCAGCTATGATTTTGAACTCACTGTAACAGTATACATTAGAGATAACTGCTCTATTCCACTAGATGCTGAACATGTGTATTCTTTACACTGCACATGGAAACCTGTCAGAATTATATATTTCAACCATTTAAAGCGTGACCTATATCATTTCATCACATTGACAGCTATTGCGAAGTGATGATTGTGCATCAACATAGGCTATTACTGCTACATGTAAATATAAAACCGCTGCTGGAGAGCTATAAAAGAAATCTGATACACCTTAAGGACTGAAGGAAAAGAGTTGACGGCATGCTTACATTACATTGAGTGCAGATGGTCAATGTACTAGTACTACCAGTATAATAATTACCAGGGGGGTATTTATGCTTCATTTTATCAGTCGTATTCAGTGTAACAGCAGAAAGTGCAGCTTTGCTATATTGCAGTAACCCAAAGCAACCGGTCACAATTCACATTTTGCAGAACGGGCAGTGTGCGCGTGCGCACACCGGCCCGTTCCGCAGCTATCGGACGAGCAGGCTAGAAACCAGCCGACAATCGTACGATTCTCGGCGGGTTTTCGAGCATGTTGGTTCGACAAAAGACGTGCGACCGTACAGTAGAAACGGTCGCACGTCTTCGTTCACACTGCTCGATTCTCGTACGATCTCGGGATTTCGCCCGATTCTCGTACTAGAATCGAGCAGTGTATGGGCACCTTTACATTGAGGGGAATTTATCAAAACTGGAGCAGACAAAATCTGGAGCGGCTGTGTATGGCAACCAATCAGCTTCTATCTTTCATTTTCAAAGGAAACAGAAGAAACTTAAGAGAGAAGCTGATTGGTTACTAAGGGCAACTGCACCAGTTTTGATCAATTCCCCCCAGAGTCTTTTCTGCAATAAAACCAGCTTGCCATGTTATGTAAATGCGAGTTTAGTTCCACTTTAATGTATTTCATTGATATCCCTCAGGACTGGTTCACACCTGAGCATTTTTACGTGCGGATCTATGTGTGTGAAAATGCACAAAGTACACATTTCTATTTAAGTCAATGGCAGCTGTTCACACCTTAGCTTTGTGTTGCGTGAAAAGATGCAGGAACTATTTTGTACACTCCATTCAGGTTCATTCAGGTCCCAGCACAGCAATATGGTGCGCTGTGCGGCTGTGTGGCGGCCTGCAGTGGCATCCAATTGCCTCTCCCATCCGATGGAACTCTCTACCCCAACCGGTCCGTCTATCTCCCACTCTGACTGCCTTTAGGCGATCCCTTAAGACTCATCTCTTCAAGGAAGCCTATCCCACCTCAACCTAACCACTGAACTATCACATTCTCAAACAATTCATCCCCACGCAGCTACCACCTCATGTATCACTTCCCTCTCCCTCTTAGACAGTAAGCCCTCATGGGCAGGGCCCTACTTACCATCTTGTCTTGAATTGTATTGTAATGTCTTCCCTATATTGTAAAGCACTGAGCAAACTGTTAGCGCTATATAAGTCCTGTATAATAATAATAATAATCCAATGTGCTGCGATAAAGTGCAGCATGTTTGTATTTTATCATAGCGCATCGCTCCGCCTATCACACATGTGGCGTGAATGGGACACATAGAAAACAATTGTCTTGTAAGTGATCCGGTGCGGTACAATGCAGGTCACCTCAATATGTGTGAATGGGCCCCTATTCAATGATCTCATTCGTTAAAATAGCAATAACACATCCCAAAGTAATTTACACAGCACACATTTATTCCAGTGATAAATTTGTTGGGGGGAATCAATAAAAACTGGAGCAGGCAGAATCTGGAGCAGTTGCCTATGGCAACAAATCAGCCTTTCATTTTCAAAGCTTAAAGTGATATTAAAGCTTCATTTTTTTTAATAAAGAGGAGGCCCATACCTTTAAAATTCAGTTGTAAATAAAACATGTTCCGTTCCTCATTCTCTAGTGGGTCCCTATAGCGCTCTTGCCCCGCCCCTGCACTGGTGCCACCATCAGCTAAGTAGCCGCTTTGGAGGCACCTGTGCGTGCTTGCTCCCAGGCCGTGCTCGTAAGTGGCTGTGTGCGTCCATAGACACACACAGCCCTGCGGCAGGCCTCTCGGCCCAGCAGGTTCATTGAGGGCATAAGAAGCCTATAGCTCCCTGCCCTCAGTATCCTCCCCACAACCAGGAAGTTTGGATGGAGAATTGCCGGGGACAGGCGGCGGTGACAAGCGGCGCTGACAGGTAAGTGGGACGAGGGACACAGTAAGATACTGGCCATTTTTTACTTTAATGCAGAGAATGCATTAAAGTAAAAAACGCCCTGCCTTTAGTAATCCTTCAACTGAACAAACTGAAGAGAGAATCTGATTGGTTAGCATGGGCAGCTGCCCCAGATTCTCTCTGCTCCAGTTTGATGAATTCCCCCCACTGTGTTTAGAGATTAGGCAAATAAATTACCAATGCATAACATAAAAGGGTATTTGTTTTTTTAAAGTGTTTAATATTTAAAATGATTTTACGGAAATACAACACGCTAAACTAAAAACATTTGCTGCATTAATAAGTCTGAGGCATCCAGCAAACATTGCAGTGTGACAATGTGTTTGTCTAAGCCCGAGGAGCAAATCCCCTTGATGTGTAAGGGGCCTAGATGCCATGGGTGCCAAAAGTTAATACGCGTCTGCAGCATCCAAGGCGGCAGTGAAGGGAGAAGATGACAAGTGGGGGAGCAGGAAGGACTGTTACAGTAACTAGTGGAGTGCCGATCACTGAAAGGGTTAATTGGAATGCAATCCTCTTACTGCATTGGGAATGTGCATGTGTGGGGGTGGAGACAAGTGACAGCAGATTGTTTATCTGCCTCAACAAATCACAATGACAGATGTAATCTTTGCACAGCACTACTCAGCCCATTGTGCTGCCATTTGGCCTAAATTTCTTTCTAGTCAACACTTCAGAGGACAAAAAGGGGGATTTGAATACAGCAATGCCACTATAATAAAGGATTACATTTACTTACATTGATTAGTTACAGTAGATCTTCAGGGCACCGCTACATACCACTGTTATATGATGTGCTGGGGCAGATATAGCTGGGTGACATGTTCATAAAACACTAGGCAAATAAATACAGTACCATATCAGAGTGCTCCACATAAAACTAGATTTGGAAGTATGAACCCTGAATATAACTCACAACATAACTTATAAAATCCAATCCATAACCCTTTACCACAATATTATAAAAAGTTGTCTATATATTTCAAGTGGCATAAACATGAATCATTTACTGCAATGCAAATGTTTTTCTGCTTCACAATTTACAGCCTTTCCTACCTGGACACATATACACATAAAAAGAAAATTAAAATCAATATTACATGTAAAACTAAAGGCATACAAACACTGATATTTTAAAAATAATTCACCTTAAAAATGTAGAAAATAATAATAAATTAAATAGATTGAATACAGATGAATAAATAATTAGATAGAGAAATAGATTAAATGAACAATAGAGAATAATAAAAAAGGTACATTAAATAAAATAAAAAAATAGATAGATAGATTAAATAAATAGCATATATTGAAAATAAATAGATTAAATACATGTAAAGAAATATAATATAATAAAGAATAAATAGATAAAATAAATTAATTCATTAATTAAAATATAATGAAATATAATTTATTGTTGAACACTATATTAAACTACATATGACCTTGACATATAATGTTATGTATAAATATAGAAGAGTAATTATATTACTTCTAGATATCCATAGATATTTTTAGGAGCGAGATAAAAATTACCCAACAATAATAATAAAGTAACAAATATATCCAAATAAACTGTTGGCAAAGAACTAAATGACCTTTATTAGTGCTGCTGTTCCCCATTCCTCTCATTACAATAAAAAAAATTAAAAAAATAACAGTTATGATGCACTGAATGCATGCAGCCAGCATTGCTAGTTAAGATGAGGTTGTAGTAAGTGGGTGTTCCAGTCAGTACATAGCAGGGTGCCCATGCCTCTGCACTGGGTGTACAGCTATGCAGCCTTGCAGCACCTCGACCTTGTGAAAGTGCTGCTGTCCCTCCACGATGCACTCCCTCCCACCATCCCTAGTAGTTTCTATTTGTGCAGCCTTGCAATATGCTCCTTCAGCCCCTACTGCATTGTATGTAACTCATGAGCTCCTGGATAGCTCCATACACACACTCCCTCCCCTTCAACATGACTCTACATTGACAGCAGAAGGATTGCAAGCTGTCGACTGCAAGCCATGATCAATCCATTGAATAGCTCATAGTGCATCCTTACTTATTAACTTATAAATACACTCAGTACAATATGTGAATGCATGCAATAATACATGATGACTAATAATGTATCATTTCAACACATAGGGCCTTCCAAGGCACTACACACTAGTATCATCCTGCTCTGCCTTTCTGTATGGGTAGTGCAGGCTTGTGTGTTAATCCTCTGCATCTCCCCTGCCCATCACTGGTACAGATGAACAGACACAGACATGTTGGTTATCTCTTACCTTTTCCTGAGCCCTGCTGAGCCTTTTCTGGACGTTCTTTGCAAAGACGCCTGATTTCATATCAGCCATGGCTGCTGGTCCAGGGAGCCAAGTGAGAAGAATCAGATGGAGCCTGGAGGCTGAGAGAGAATGAGAAGGGAGGGGGAGGGGAAGAGGAGGAGTCCCAGCACCAGGAGAGGAAAAGACACTGATGGGGGATCATATAATGAGAAGGCAAGGCAATTAAGAGGAAGCAAGAGAATGGACAATTAACATAAGAACATACATGGATTATATTGTCTCCAGAATTAAAATGCTGTGACAATATGACTAGAGCTGCAATAGTAAATGACATGTGTCTATACATAATGCCTGTACAGTGAATGTATATGTGTGACTTATAGAGTGTTGTACAGGTAAGGGCTGCGGTACCTGTAAAGGGTTATCTAGGTGAGGTACATGTATTTCATATTGCATGGGGATCTGCTGCTGTCCATGGTGCTGAACTCGCTCACTGAGCAATCCCAGTGAACTGTGCCTTGGAGTTAACACCCCGATTAGTATTCAGGAGGAAGACTCTTATTTGGTAGGCTGCCTCCAGATTCCTAATGACATTTACTAATGTAACTGAAAATGAAATCTCTGCTATAGATCCACCACTTGGCAATCTTTACTACTGGGATTTAACAAGCTGAAATTGAATCCTCAAGCACAGTATATGAATAGTCTTCTTCTTTCTGGATGTCTTTACATAAAAGCATTTATTATGGTTTGTGTGGAAAGGCAGTGAATACCCTGGCCACAAATAACCCTTCATTTACAAATGGGAAAGGGAAAGAGCAACTCCAGGCAACAGTTAAACTGCATTTTTAAGGGCCTGTTCAAACATATTGCCATGACGTGCGCTTTACTGTACCAGATCAATGCAGGTCACTGCACAATTGTTTTCTATGTGACCTATTAACACCACAATGCCAGCATGCTGGGTGGTGCACTACACTGCGATAAAATGCAAACATGCTGCTTTTTTTTTACAGCGCACTGGATGCCACTGCAGGTTGCTAACTTGAATGGAGTGTACACATGTACATGTCAAATAAAGCTTAAAAAAAGTAAACAATGACAGCTCCAGCAGTGTGCAATACAACACACAACACCAGAGCGGTTACAGCACACAAGCCATCCCATAAAACGCAGCATTATTGTGGACAGGCTATTGAGAATGGCCGCTAATACTATGCAGGAAACATAATCAGGGCACGTTTGCTAATGCTCCTGTGTATTTTTTTTTTTTACATTGGTGGGTTGGTGGGTCAATGGGGTTGATTTACTGATGGTAAATAACCTGTTCACTTTGCAAGGGCATCTGCATTTTGCAGAGGAAGTTTCCCTTAGCTTAGTGAATGTGGTAAAATGTCACATTGCAAAGAATACCCAATAACATACTTAATTGGTACAGATAGGGTGATGGAAGTGATCAGAGCTCTTGCAAAGTGAACAGCTTATTTGCCTTTAGTAAATCAACCCCAGTGTGTCACTTAGCAAAGCATAGATCCTGGCAAATCAGGTTGTCACATACCTGGTAGAGGGCTTCCCTTACACTTCCTGTACAATACCCGCTGGAGTTGGAGACAGGATGCAGTAGGATGAGGAGTGGCATATGTGCCTGCAGTGGGTCATGTTGTAGCAGGAGATCAGAAGACAGTATGAATAATTCTGTGCTTCTGGAGATGCTCAGACCAGGTCTGTGCAGTGAACTGGTACACAGGTCGGGCACAGGAATGTGCAGGTTCAAGAAGCAGAATCGTGGTCAGGATGAGCTGGGTCAGCAACAAGGTACCAATTCAGAAGCAAAAGTAAAGTCTAGCTGAAGGTCGATTAAAGACAGGCAGGAGAGGTGTCAAGAAAGCAGAAAGGATGTGAAGCAAGAATACAAGCCAAGATCAACAAAGGGAGATCTGGATACAGCAGAGTCAGGGGGCAAGCTGGGCCAAATACGGGATAGCAAAACACAGGTCAGGTCACAGGAGCTAATGACTACTCAGCAACTCTCCTTAGTATGTACTGTCAAACTAGTACTGGGCACACACACATTCATGCTACCACACACTAACAAGTGCACATGTGATCACCATTATGGCCCTATGCAGTGGTCCACAAACTGTAATATACACAATCGCAGATCTCCAGACACTGATGTGTGCTTGACCTTCCTAACACATGTGCACCTCAATATAGCAGTGGAAGTCACTTTCAAATTCGAATGCATGGCTCGATCACTAGGATCTGAGGGCTATTGAGTTGTGGGTTGTAACACTAGAGTATATGTGGAACTACACTTCCCATCATGCATGATTGTTCCACACATCATGTAGGTCAGGGGTAGCTAAACCTCAACTCTCCAGCTGTGGTGAAACTACACATCCCATTATGCCTCTGCCTCTGAAAGTCATGCCTGTGAGAGTCTTGCAATGCCTTACGGGACTTGTAGTTCCACACCATCTGAATGGCCGAAGCTGTAGGTCTCTTTATTTTTATGCTTTTGTCATTCCACCATATGCCATTACATGCATTGATATATCTAGATATAGACAGGTTAGACAAAAACACAGATGTCAGGGGAATACTATAACAAGCTGTTCCCAGGGGGTTGTCGGCACAGACAAGTTAGCGGAAAGCCTGCACGTCAGTGGCATAGGTACACTGAACTCTCTAAACAGACTTTCAGCAGAAATAATGAGTCAATCAACAGTGAGTTTATGCATGCTTGGAATAAACCTTTAGAGATTGTGGGTGACATCTAGGAAAGTATAGGTGTAGGTGTTCTCTTTTAGTAAAACCTTTTTTATTCTGTGATGCACTTTGCTTTTCATGAATGTAGAGCTTATACTGTCCTTCCATGCAAAGAGCTAAATGAACAGTTTAAACACATAGGGGAGAATTTATTAGGGATGCACCCATTCCATTTTTTCTAGACCAAGTACAAGTACTCTCCCTCAGGTACTTGCCGATACCAATTACCAATACTTTTTTCTTAAAGGGACTTGTGACATTTTTTCTAAAACAATACAGACTAATTATTTTACAGTCACAGTACGGCACTGGGTCTGTGGGGGCACAGTGCAGTGCTGTGTTTGTGGGGGCACAGTGCAGTGCTGTGTTTGTAGGGGCACAGTGCAGCACTGGGTCTGTGGAGGTACAGTGAGGGGCTGTGTCTGTGGGGGCACATATGAGGCGCTGTGTCTGTGGGGGCTCAAGTTGTGAAAGTCCACTCTGGAGACTTAAGTGTACAGATTACAGAATACAAAATGTTGTCTCTTCATTAAACTATACAGCGTACAACATACGCCAACACTGCTGAATTCTGAAAGCAACATAACTAAGTAACAGAATGTTGGGCAAGGGCAGCAGACTGGCCCCAAGGGACAGCTGAGCTGGCCCCTCCTGGTCCTGACCGGGACCTCTTCAGCCCTGGACATGTGAGCTGATATGGTGGTAGTTCCACCACTGGAAACTTTGCTAATAGCCAGGAGGTCACTCTGCTACTTTCTGGATCAGGATTTCTGTTTTCTGATTAAGTTAACTGGTATTGGATAAAGGTGATGATGCAGATTTATTGTCCAAAGAGCAGACTGGATGTCAAAAGGACAGACGTTGCACTGATTAACCAGAAAGCTGCATTACTAAACCAGAAAATAATGGTGTCACCTGCTTGACAGGATAACAGAAGTGCATACATCATGAGACTGGTTGTACAGGATTACAAGTCCTGTGGAAGGTAAAACAAAAAAACATATATGTATTTAAACTGTATATTTAACTGGTTGCTTTACGTTGACCAAAGGGTCCGTTCACATAGGTGGAATCCATTCCACTCAGCAGGGGATCAGTGAACAGATCCCCCGCTAAATTGTAGCTGAATGGAACAGATGCCACTTTTGCGACATCCATGACTGCGCATTTTTTATTCCATGGAGCTGAACAGACCAATGTTAAGCCTATGGGCAGATGAATGCAAACACACGTACATCTGTTTACACCCTGTTACCTCCAACCGGTCAATTTGCTTTTTTTTTTTACCTATATGGACAACGACACACCTCCATTTATATCCACTTGCCCATAGATTAACATTGAACTTCCACTCAGATCCGTGAATCTCAACAGAACACCACAGGAAAGGGCTCTTAGGAAGCAAAAGACTTTCTTTACCTAAAGCTAAAGTCGAAAGTTTTATATAATCCGTTACAGACTAATTTAACAAGTTTTTACATTGCTTATTGCCAGAATTGTATCTTCTTGTCATAAACTGTTGTGCTCTCTTTGAACTACAGAGAGGGATGCTTGGAAAAAGGAACGCTTAGTTATAGTGAAATTTCTCGTAAATTTCTGGAAGGCAAAAAAAAGAGTTCCTTCCCACTTTCCTCAGATTATGCCAGAGGTTGAAAATATTCTGTAGGAAAGAACAAGAGGAACATATAAACTAAATATATAAATATTAAAGGAGAACTATGAGGTGAGTGCTTTTCACTCATCCTTATAGTTTGAGCCGACCTGTGACAATGAAACTGTCACAGGTCGGCTCAGTAGATCGGGAAGTGAGCGAACACATACCGGCGTTCGCTCACTTCTCGATCTTGCCACGGCTCTCTGCCGTGACAGGGGAGGGACTGGATTCCCTCCCTCCCCCCATCCTCCAGCGCTGACTGGCGGAACAGACGGGCCTCTAGATAGGCAGAGCCAGCTGTCACTCCCGCAGCTGGGCGGATCCAGACATAATTGTCGGGATCCGCTTCATCTGCGGCGTCTCAGTATGCTGCGAGCTGTAGCTTGCGGTATACTGTGGCGTCTCAGTATACAGTGAGCTTTAGCTCGTGGTATACTGAGCTTAGGGTGATCGGAGGACGCTAGTTTGTGTCCTCCCGTTACCCTAAGGAGAACTATGGGGAAAAGCTCTGACCCCATAGTTCTGCTTTAACGTTCTCCTTTTGTTGAGTTTACAGGCTATTAACAAACATTTCTACACTCCATAACAGAACCTGAGTGATATAAAGGAAATTGCTTGAATGGTAATCTCTTAAATACAATGAATGGAATTTATCAAAACTGGAGCAGGCAAAATCTGGAGCAGCTGTGCACGGTAACCAATCAGCTTCTCTCTTTCATTTTCAAATTTTACTGACCAAACTGAAGAGATAAGCTGATTGGTTGCCATGCACAGCTGCTCCAGATTTTGTCTGCTCCTGTTTTGATAAATTCCCCCCAAGATCGTTAGACTCTTCTCAGAA